AAAAAAAAAAAGAGTTGTACAATTATCACCAAAATAAATTCTGTAACATTTTCCTCTTCCTTGTATTCATTGTTATTCATGAAATTATGTTTTAATTGTCACAAAATACACACACCAAAACATTCTCCAATTCAACAACTTCCACATGTATGATTCAGTGCCATTGATTACACTCTTCATGTTGTACAACCATTATTATATCCTTTTCCAAATTATTCCACCACCACTAACATAAACTTAGTGTCCCCTAAGCTACAATTCGTCCTGCTTCACCCATGGTAACCATTGGTCAAGTTCGATTGGGCAGTTTTTAGTACTTTTCTTGATATAGTGTTCACATATCATATACATTCACTCCATACTCAAATTGTTTTTTAAAGGAGTTTTAAAGGAGTTGCATGTACATCATCACAGTCAGTTCTAGTGCTCCCTCCCTCCTCCAGTATTCGTTACTTGCTCCCGTAGCCCCCGTCTCCCCCACCCACCATGTCCCTGATAAACCCTTGCATCAGTCATTGTCTCTATGTCTATTGTCTATTGCATCGGTCTATTGTCTCCTTCTTTGCCTCACAAACTGGGAAATCCAACAGAAACAATAAAAACAAAAGCAAAACAAAATGGAAAGAAGATGATAATAATAATATAAAGATAAAAATAAAGAATAAGAAAGAAAAATGATAACGTTCTAGAGTATCATTTAACAGAATGACCTTTCTTCCCACACAGGATTACCAAACCAACAATAACGACCAGGCAGTGGTTGAAATCTGTGTCACCCGAATCACAACAGCCCTCAGAGAGACAGAGTCCATCGACAGGCATGCCAGGGCCCTCGTGGGGCTCTGGGACTCCTGCTTGGGGCACAACCTGAGAGCATCCGGGAAAGGTGAAGACTCTCCGCATGCAAAAATTGCATCTGATATCACGAGTTGCATTTTACAGGTATGTAGTGTGTGATGTCAGGCTATTTGGCACTGGTTTGGCAACTTACCTGAATATACGTTACTGAACTAAGAACCATTATGTCTATTTATCAGTCTGACATACATTCAAAGAAATACCACAAATAAGGGGAAGACCACTGTATTCTATTTTCCCCTATGGACTGTCATAAAGCTTCATAACGTTTACTACCTTATGAAGGATGAGGCAGCAGGAAGCCTAACATTAGCTGCTACACACAATGCTAAGCACTTCAACATAACCATAATTTCCTTTCATACATAAAAGGCTCCTAAAAGCCCCATAACAAGGCTCCTCGCCCTTTAATCTAATTGGGGATTTAAGATGTGGACAAAGAAAACTAATCATAAAGCAATGTTTTTCAAGACCCAAATGAGGAATACTGGGAAATTCCAAAGAAGAAACCTCTTGTTCGAGAAGGTCAGGGAGGAAGTCAAGTCTAAAGTCAAGGGCAGTGAGCTTGGGATATGGAGAAGGAAGGATTCAGTCATTTCAAAGTGTATTTCTATCTGTATTGTGGCCCTGTTTCACTTCCTTCCTCTGGTGTGAGCATGAACTTAGAGCTTTGTGCTGGCTGTGTGAGGCTGGGGATGTCGCTTGACTTCTTAAGCCAGTAGTATCTTCCTATTAAAAGCGGATTAAATGACAGTACCTATGGTAAATTTCACCAAACAATAGTGTGATTGATATTTCTAAAAGGAATCCTGTCATCGAAGAAGGTGAAGAACGCTCCTTTCAATTTTTCCCCCTGATTTTTAGGCTGTCATAAAGCTTTAAAACAAAAGGCATCCAAAAGAGCTATAAAAGACTCAATGAAGAAACCGGGTTAGCTTTGTTGAGTCCAGCACTGCCCATCTGATTTAACCATGGACTCCCCCTGCCCTTCCTCACTCTCAACAGCACTGTCTTATGTGACTGTGAAATTTGCTTTCCCCCCTCCTGATCCCCAACACAACATTGATGGACATTTCTAAGGACGAGAGTCCCAATGAGCATTGTTTGGAAAATTGTGGTTAGGTTGAAGTGCCAGGTATCGTGCATGAAAGCCAATGTTGGCTTCCCTGCTTCCTTGTCTTTCTTCTTTTTTCATCTTTTGCACAGTTGTCCAGGCTTTACTGGAACAGAGTCCATCTGTAGAAAAGACTGAGCCAAGACTGCACACACCACCACACTTGAGAGTTGCAGAGGAGCCCAGAGGTGGGAAGGAGAAGTGCGCAACATTGACCAAAGATTAATACTCAAACTCATTGCCATCAAGTCAATTCTGACTTAGAGTGACCCTATAGGAGAGGGTAGAACTGCCCCTATGGGTTTCTTGAACTCTTTACTGGGAGTAGTAAGTTTCATCTTTCTCCCAAGGAGCAGCTGACTTTGCAGTTAGCAGCCCAAGGCATAACCTCTATGCCACCAGGGCTCTCTGGAGGGAAAAAGTACTAAAGATCTAATATATCTGTGTGATAGTTAAATAATTTCATGTCAACTTGATAAAAGAATGAAGGGGTGGAGTCTAGCCTGTCAATTAGGCATCGCCTGATGATCCCTCCTTGTGGCATGGCCTTCTCATAAGGATTCTGGGAACTTCCTCTCTCTTGATTCTGCCATCAGAAGAGGTGGGTCTCTCTCTCTCTCTCTCTCTCTCTCTCTCTCTCTCTGTCCTTCACTTTCTTGCTGTTGAGACACTCAGAGAGTTGGAGGAGCACATGGAGACCCACAGTCATACTAAAATGCTTCCGCTGACACTGGATCCACAAGACTTTTCATCAGCCTGTGATCTTCCTGCATTTGGCATCGTTGCATGTGCTGTGTGAGTCTGAAGAGGGATTTATGGACTAGAATGGGACTTATGGGCTAATAGTGGATTTATGGACTTGATCTGGACTGTGATGTTTTCTTAATATCCAATGACTCTTTGGGATAAAGTTCTTTGTTATACATATATGAGTGTCTCTGAATTTGTTTCTCTAGTCAACAGACTAACACAATCAATTGATTTTCTTGAGTATGTGTGTTCTTGATATATTGTTAGGGGAAACAGAATGGTACTCCATTCAGGAAGATCTCACAAATTGGCTCTCACTGCTGTGAGAGAACTATTGTCTAGCTCGGGGGCAGCACTATCCAATAGAAATAGAATGCAGGCTACAAACGCAAAACACATATGTAACAAAACACATATGTATATTTCCTGGTGGCTACCTTTGGGGGGGAAAAGTAGAAACAAACAGGTTAAATTCATTCAAATAGTGTATTTTCTTAAGTCAAATACATTAGAAATTATCAATATGTAATCAATATAAATATTATTTAGGTATCTTAATTCTTTTTGTTTGGTTGTAGGTCTTATAAATCCAGTGTGTGTTTTAGCACACCTCTCATTGGACTAATCCCATGCCAGGTGCTCAGCAGTCATTGGTGGCTAGCAACATTGTAGAGTCAGAGCAACCTTTCTAAGTGGAGCATCTATTTGGAGAGAATTATGAATAGTGAGAAGTTTCACCAGATGTCCAATGGAGCACAAGGACATTCCAAGCAGAAATAAAACAGCTTAAGCAAAAGTCCAGAGCTGTAAAGCAAGACAAAAGTCAGAGAATTATAAGCAAGCTGGGCTTCAAAAATACCCCTGATTTTATGTTTTATATGTATTTTGCCACAACAAAAAACAAACAGCAACAACAAAAAGCAAAAGACAAAAGACAGAGATGATTTTTAAAAAGTTTTGAAACTTGGTGGTGGTTACTCTGCGGTATGAATACACTAAATGTCACACTTTTAAAGTGTTACTTGTATGTTATGTGTATTTCACCTCCATTTTTAAAAGTGGGGAGGAATGGGCAAAAAGAATGTTTCATTCTGGATGTGTTAGCCTGGGTTGACTAGAGAAACAAATCTAGTGACACTCATGCATGTATAAGAGAAAGCTTTCTATCAAGAAGTAATTATATATCCAGCAAGCATCCCAGCCCAGTCCAGATTATGTCCATATGCCCGAAACTAGTCCATAAGTCCCTCTTCAGCCTCATGCAGCCACATGCAATGACGCAGGATGCAGAAGGATGACAGCTAATGCATGCAGAGTTGTATGGATCCAATAGCAGTAGAAGAATCAGAGGGCCTCACCAGCAGAAAGGTGAGGGCAGAGAGAGGGGCGTGTTGGTGTTGGTTCCCAGAACCCTCCTTAAGAGAAGGCCACACCCACAGGAAGTCACCATCAGGCTGTGATCTGATTGACAGGCCAAATTCCACCACAGGAAATTACGTAACTACTACACTGGATAAAATGGTATGTCTCCTAGTGAAAAGGGAAGTAAAAAGTTTTTAAGAAATAAAATTTTAGTTGGCTTACTGACTTACTTTACTTAGTGAAACTTACAGATGATCAACGACTCAGTGTGCATTAGTGTGTAAGATTTTTCAGAGACGGCTCCTGAAGACACTGGCTGATTTTTGGGAAAGGAACAGAGCTAGGGCTGATGACATCAAGTGGGATAGCTCATGGGGTCAGCCCCTCCCCTTCAGACCTCCTCAGTAGACCATGGAGACTCTTTCCAAAATATGCCGTGGAATCCATTCCGATTCATAGAGCCTCCATAGAGGGTTTCGAATCTTCAAATAGCAGATTGCCTAATCTTCCTCCAGATGCATGACAGTGGGTTTCA